CTTAGCATTTGCTCACACCAGTTCCCTGCCTGAAATGCCTGACATTCTCTCTCACTATTAACTCATGTAACAACATTTTACTGAATGCCTATAAGTACTACATACTGTGAACACAAAGTCATAGATAGAGATATAAACAGTCATTAAAATGGTCTGGAATTTGACTACATCCCCATTTTGGAAAAAGACAGAATTCAGAAAAATAAATTCTAGATAATTTTGTAAGTATACAAATAGAACTAATGAAATATTAGAAAAAATACAGAAGACATTAGGATCTGAGGTAATAAGGACCTTTTTAAATAAGATAAAACACAAAAGCCATAAGGGAAAGACTGATAATTTGACCTCATCAAAATTTAGAACTTCTGTTTAACAAAGGATATAACCAAAGTTAAGATAAGCAACACAGTGCCAATTTTTTCTTTAAACATATTCTGGAGAAAATAGTCACAACATATAAAGAACTAAGACTCAGAATGTATAACTTTCAAATCATTAAGAAAGAGAAAAAATAAACTATATGCTACAACCATCTTATAGAATATTATGTCAGTTTTGTTTTGTTTTTTAAATGAAATAGTTTTACTTGAACAGAGGAGGAAGTCTTCAGACATAATGCCAAATGGAAAAACAATGATGAACAATACAGTATGATGCCATTTTGGAAAAACAAAATCTCCCAAAATTAGATAGGCAAAGAAAAGGCCCTGACGGCTACACATCAAACTGATAAAGAAGTTACCTCTGGGAGAGGAGTGGGACTGGGGCTGGGGTAGTAACAAGGGGGGAGAGGGGGATTTTAACTTTTGTGCGAAAATTTTTACAAGATTATATAATGTTACTCAATAACCAACCAAAGGAAATATGTGAACCTTGATTGGATGAATTTTCCTATAGGTATAAAAGTTACACTGTGAGTAACTGGGGGAGTTTGAACAGGTATATTTGATGTTACTGTGGTTGTTTAGGATGTTCTTGTTTTCAGCAGTTGCTTACTGAAGTATTTATGGGTAAAGTGTCAAGAAGTCTTCAATTTTCAAATGGGAAGAAATGGAAGGAAGGAAGGAAGGAAGGAAGAAAGGAAGGAAAGCAGCAGAGAGGAGATAGAATGGGAATATGAGGGGAGGAGAGAGGGAAAGAAAAAAACAAATGTTAAAGCAAAATGATAAAGTATGAATGTTAATCACTGGTGAATCTAGGTGAAAGGTATATGGGTGTTGAATGTACTATTCTTCCAACTTTGCTACAGGCCTGAAAATGAGTGACAGAGAAGGAGTGAGAGAGAGAGAGAGAGAGAACCATTTTAGCTGGAAGGGATCAATTTCTCCCTTGAATTCTTATGACACTTAGCAATGTCACTCATATTACTAGTGATCACTTCTCAGAATGTGTCTTATTCCCTATAAGCTCCTGAAAGGTAGAGGTATCTTTCAATCCTTTGCACCCCTCTGCATGCCCAGCATGATGCCAGCACAGAGCCGGCAGTGGCAAGAATGGGTAGGAGTTGAGGTTGAGAAATGTGTCTAGTTTACCTGTGAAGCTGGCAAATACAAAGTCAGGACCTGGAATTGCCCATCAGTTCTGATGAGAAGCATGACAGGTCTATCTCCTGGCCACTTAGGCTGACCCAGCAGGGAATCACCCAGAGCTGGTGCCAGATCTTCCTAGTAGGACTACAGTCTGAGAACGCTATCAGAAACTGCCTTATGGCTTTTAGTTTGATTCTTTGTAAACTACAAAGTGGTAGAAAAGTGAAGTGCTCTAATAACCCTTTCTTTTTTGTCCTTACAGTGACCATAGGAGAGAGGAATTATCTCCATTTGACAGATGAGGAAACAGGCTCAGAGAAGGGAAGTGACTTTTGCTAGGTCACCCAGAGAGGAAATGGGCTCAATCCCATGTCTTCAAGTCTAAGGTTCCCTCTGCTAGACCAAGCTGCCTTCTCTGTGGTGACTCCATACCAGGAAGAGAAAGACACACTTACCTGATTCCGTCTTGCTCTGGATTACATCTCCCCACACTGTGAGATCACCACAGGCAACTTGGGCTTATTGTTGGGGCCTGTGGGAACATTCTAAGACAGAAAGCACAGTGGAGATTCAGATACTCAGACACTCACCAAAGATTTACTGATGTCTGCCAGCCCCTGTGCTAAGGACTGAGGGCTCAGAGACTGATATGATAACAGTCCATGTAATACAGATAAAAAATAAAACATACATTTAAAATATATCAAGTCTATGATATGTAATAAGTTATAAGAAAGTGTATACAGGGCAGAGGAAGCAATTAAATGTTGCTTAAAGAGGTCAGGGAAGGATTCACAGAATAGGGGATTATTTGAGCTGGACCAAGAAGGGATAAATGGGAAGAGGAAAAGAAAGAAGAGCATCCCAAGTAAAGGAAACAGCATGAGCAACGGCTCAGGGGCAAGAAGGAAAAGGAGGCAGGGATGTTTGGCACATTTAGAGGAAAGCTCAAGCAGCCTAATGTGACTGGAACATGGAGGTGGCAGTGGCAGAAGGGCTGTGAAGAGAGAGGCAGGGATGAGGTCAGGAGGGATCTTGAATGCAGTGCCGAGTAGGATTTTATCAAGTAGGTGAAGGAGCCACCACAGCCCAAATCTCAGTGTGCAATCAAGAGGCTAATTATAGGCCAAAAGCACCTGGGAGGCATGTGGTCTCTCCTCCCTTCCCTTGAGGAAGTCCATGTAATAGAGGTAATGGATGAAGACTGGGCCTAACAAACTGAAGCCACTCAGGATTCTCTAGTTGTCGACACTAGTCAGGTAGTACCAGATCAGAATGGCTGAGGAAGAGAAAATCAAAACAGGACTTACCTCAATCTTTCTCATCACTAGAAGTCCATCAATGATTTTTCCTGTAGGAAGAGTATGAACTGGATTTTACTATTTCATTTGCATAGCATTTTCCAGCTTCCCATGCCCCTTCTCACACCACTTGATCCCCATACCAATTTCAGGAAATTGAGATTCCATGGAGGTGAAATGACTTATCCAAGGTCACAGATAGTAAGCAGCAGAATTAGGGCTCAAACCTAGATCTGAGCAATTGCAAAGCTCCACTGCACCATGCTGCCTGTGTGGTATTTCTTAAATACTACCATCAGGGGGTTTCCCCCTTAAACATACATATCACCTAAGTGGCTATGCACTTTACCAGATGGTCCCTTTGTCCTTATACATCCTCCCCACCTCCCACTTCAACTTCCACTTTCCCCACTACTGCACAGAACAGGTAAACAAGTCAAGACCTCTGGGTATGAATGCGGGGACTGGCTCTTTTGGGAGTCCCACTTTGAGTGAATGGGCCCAGGACCATAGAACAGGAGTAGGACTCACCAAACACTACGTGCTTCCCATCCAGCCAATCACACTTAGAGCAGGTGATGAAGAACTGGCAGCCATTTGTACTGGGACCACTATTTGCCTGATGGAAACCAAACATACTTGCATTGAATTTTCCTTGCCATGCTAGCTGAAGGGCAAGATTCCCCAAAGAGCCTGTGGCTCTGATTGCTCCACACTTTCTTTCAGCAAAACTGACTGAGCATTTATGAGCCAGGGTCTGAGCTAGGATATAGAAATGAGGAGGCTACACATCTCTGCCCTCAAGGAACTAGGTCCGTGAATAAATGTACATTTCCCCTACAGTACGAATTTTTATAATGGGAACAACTGTTAATGGTACCTGACTTGCTCTATTTAGTCCAATACTAGTTATAACTGAATTATAGTTATAAATTAGTAACTAGGTGAGAAGGGTTCTATTGTCTGTGCCATAAACTGTTTTGTCTGAATGGTTTTTCTATAACAATGGTAATTTAAAAATTTTAAGAAAGTGCAATAAGTTGCCATTCCTATGCTACAAAAAAAGACATTTGCTTTTTACTGGTACATCCCAAATCCTATATTATTGAATTTTGAGGAAAAGTGTTTTTTAAAATAAAGAATCTGAAACTTTCTAGCCATATCTCTCCAATGTCCCTCCTTTAAAATGTTTTTACATCATTATATTTAACTAGAGGCCCGATGCACGAGATTCATGCAGTGGCTTGGCCCTCACAGTCCTGGCTGCCTTGGCCCTTGTGGCCCTGGCTGCCTCACAGCCTCACCCACTGGTTTTCCAAAAGGTGGTTCTGCTGTCAGGTCTAATTAGCATATTAGCTCTTTATTATATCGGACTAGAGGCCTGATGCACAAAATTTGTGCACGGGGGTGGGATGGGGTCCCTCAGCCCAGCCTGTACCCTCTTGCAATCCAAGGCTGCTAGCTCCTAACCGCTGGCCTGCCTGCCTGCTTGATTGCCCCTAACTGCCTCTGCCTTGGCCCCCGCGGCTCCGTCTGGAAGGTCGTTTGTTTGTCCGGTCTAATTAGCACAAATTTGTGCAAGGGTGGGGTCCAGCCTGCCCAGCCCCAATTGGATTGGGGCCAGGCCTGTGGGGAGGAGGAGACGGCAGGAAGTTGGCTAGCTGGCCCGCCCCCGATTGGGGTGGAGGGGGCCAATTGGGGATGGGGCCAACTGTGGGGAGGGACTGTGGGTGGTGGCCGGCTGGACCCACCCCCGATTGGTGTGGGAGGGGCCAATCGGGGTGGGGCCAGCTGCAGGGAGGGGCTCTGGGCGGTGGGCTAGCCAGCCCCATCCCTGAATGGGGTCAGGGGGGCCAACTGGCGGCTAGTGGCCTGGGGAAAGGGCCATGGGTGGTTGGCTGGCCAGCCCTGCCCCTGATTGGAGTGGGGGGGCTGTTTGAGGCAGAGCTGGATGGGGGGGAGGGGCTCTGGGCCGATTGGGGTGGTGGGGTTCCATTGAGGGCAGGGCTGGCGGGGGGGGGGGGCTGCAGGAAGTTGGCCTGCCAGCCCCACCCCATTGGGAGGGTTTGCTGGCCACAGTGGGCGTCATAGCAACTGGTCGTTATGGCCGTTAAGACATTCTGGTCGCTGGCTTTTTATATACATAGACTAGAGGCCCAATGCACAAAAATTCATGCAAGAGTAGGCCTTCCTTCCACCGGCTGCTGACATCAGCTTCCCTCTAGCACCCGGGACCCAGGCTGGCTTCCTTCCAGCCCCAGCTTCGTCAGGAAGGATGTCTGGAATGATTACCATATTACCCTTTTATTGTTATAGATTAACATATTGTAAAGAGACATTTGACTGTCATATGAAGTGTATTTTTGTTTATTATATATTGATCCCCCTAAACTGCCTTTAATATGCTAAATTCAGACTTTTGTATACCAGCAAACCCAAGTTAAGTTTCAGCAGCACTGTCTTACAACAATATCTGTGTAACTATGAATATATTATCACATATTTCCCTTATTTCAGAAAAAAAATGAATAGAAAATGGAAAACTGAAAGTACTAGTACTAGTAAACGTATAGGTCTCATAAAACTCTAGTGCCCAGCCAGCATGGCTCAGTGGTTGAGTTTTGACCTATGAACCAGGAGGTCATGGTTTGATTTCTAGCCAGGTTTTGGGCTCGATCCTAGTATGGCGCATTCAGGAGGCAGCCAATCAGTTATTCTCTCTCATCATTGGTGTTTCTATCTCCCTCTCCCTTCCTCTCTGGAATCAATTAAAAAAAAAACACACCACAAAAAAAAAAAAAACTACTATTGTGCAAAAACTGCACATTATTAGATAGATAACTAGACTTAATCAGAGATTCCACTTAAATTAGTTGATTCTGTGTTCAACTGTGAACGAATAAAAATGTTTATGAAATACTAAAAATACATTAAAGACATTGTCTAAAGGTAAGCTCTAATTAGGGATTTCATATTACACTTTAGAAAGTCCCCATGTAAGATGAAGTTACTTTAGTTTTTTTGTGTGTGTATTCAGAAACAACTCATATGAAAATAAGGCACTGTCTGAGCCAGTCAGAGGGATGAGGGATAGGCTTCCCAGGGGTCCCAATTCATTCTTTCATTCTATCTACTTATCTACCATCCATCCATCCATCCAATCAATTTTGCTGCTCTATGTCTAAACATTTATTGGCAAGAAGACAGGCAAACAGTAATATAACATGTTTTTATAGCTCAGGGGACACTCTCTGCCTGTAGCCATTTCTTTATTCATTCTTCAAGGCAGTATAACTAATTGGCTTAGAGAATTAGCTCTGTCTGGAACCCTGGAGTCAAATGACCTAGCTTGAATCCCAGCTCTACCCCTCACTGTGACTTAGTTTAGTCACATAATTTCTCTGTGCCTCAGTTTCCTCATTTGTACCTATCTTAGAGATGTTGAGAAGATTAAAATAAATTAATGCAATTAAGATGCTTGTTGAGCAAGTGCTCAATAAACATTAGTGGTTATTCTGATTATCTTCCACTCACTATTTAAAATCTGCTTCACACCTTTCTGTATCAGGTATAAGGCTTAAAGATCAACAAGACCCAGTCTCTGCCCTTGAGAAATTCATGATTTAGTGGAAAATAGAAGCAAAAACAATTACGCTACAAGGTATGTGGCAGGCCCTGGCCAGTGTGGCTTAGTTGGAGCATCGTCCTGCACGCGGAAAGATCTCAGACACATACCCAGGTTGCAGTCGGGCACATAGGGGGAGGCAACCGATGGATGTTTCTCTCTCACATCAATGTTTCTCTCTCTCAAAACCAATGAATATATTCTTGAGTGAGGATTTTTTTAAAAATGTATGTGGCAGCACAACTCAACCAATGTAAGCCTCAAAGGTGCATAGACCAAGACCTCCTTCCATTTTCCTGACTCTTCCATAGATGCTAACATAGTGGCATGCACTTAGAGGGGTTCTAATCCTAGGGAAGATCCAAGCCACTTCTCCACTCCTTACCTGCACTTGCCCAGCCTGGCTTTCCTAAAAGGGGGCTTGTATATTGTCTGCTGTGCTAGTCTCCCTCAGCCTCCTGACTGGTTCTCTGCCCCAGCCTCTCCAGTCCCACCTGCCATCATAATGCAGCTAGGGTTTTTGTTCTAAAACACAAAGTTGATCAACCCTCCTCAAAAAAGTGTATGGCTCTCCATAACCGATGAAAGAAAATCCACACACTTCATCCTTATCCTGCCACTTGAAGCCCATCAAGAGCCAGATAACCTGCCTCCACAGTGGTCTCTACTGGCCACTGTGTCCATCATTCGCATCCTGTTTTCAGCATCTTCCTCACTTTCTGTTCCTTGACTATGTCTCATGTCATCTGGTATAGAACTCTTTCAAGAACTCAAATGTCCCCTCTTCTGTGAAGCAGCCTTGCCCAACCCCCTGCAGCAATTATGCTCATTCCTTGGGGCTCTCACGGGATTTTTACATGCAGTAAGGTGCCCTTACCTTAATACAGTGATGGCATGGATTACACTATACTAGACTTATCATTTTGCACATATGAAGCCATTAGATGTTAAGTGACACAAAGGCAGGGATCAGATCTTATGCCTTACCATGACACCTGGAACAGAGTGGATATCGACAAATCTTTACTTGATGAATGCCTGAGTAGATGAGTGGTAGAGCAGGCAAGCAGGACAGAGAATGTGCATGTAAATACTGGGTCTGGGGATTAAGAGTTGGGACACTGACAGAGGGAAATGGGTGATGAGCAGGGAGGAGGGAGACGGCAGAAGAGTGAGAGAGAAGCAAGGTGGGAGGGGTAAGGGAAAAGGAGGAGTGAAGGGTGAATAAGGGGAAATGAACATGAAGGAGAGTGAGCAGGGGTAGGGTGCATGAGGGGTTTCAAGTGAAGTGGACAGGGGGACTGTGAAAGCGGAGTGACATGTGTGAGTGAGTGTTATATGTAGGGAGGGAATGCAAGGATGAAGGAGTAGGAGTGGTGAGCAAGGAGAGGTAAGTGAATAGAAGGGAGTGACCAGCCAGTAGACAGTGTGAGTGAATGGTACTGAGGGTCTTTGCAAGCCGAGCAATGAACAAGTGAACATTGGATCTTGAAAGCACGCCTGGATGCATTCTGAGCAGCAAGGCTAAATGCCCAGCCATATGTTTTGACTCAAACAAAAGGCCTTGTGGCTCAGTTGGTTGAGCATCAACCCATGCACCAAGAGGATGCCAGTTCGATTCCTGGTCAGGGCACATGCCAGGTTATAGGCTTGATCCCCGTTGGGAGTCATACAGGAGGCAGCTGATCGATGTTTCTCTCTTATCAATGTTTCTCTCTCTCTCCGCCCCCCCCCACCCTCTCTCTCTTTTAGGAAATCAATAAAAACATTTTTTAAAAAAGGAAGGAAACACATAGCAGAGTTCAGTTTCACTTCCCAGCCTAACAAAATCAGACTGATTAAAAACGTAGGCATGACAGAGGTGAATCCTGGGTTGAGCAAGAAAAGAAAAGCATTTGCTTCCATTTAAAGACACAGCACTGAGCCTTAAGAGGGGCCCAGAAACCAGCTGGCTATAAATCTAACCCAAAATCTTGATTTGGACCTCACTTACCATGGAAAGCAGGCCTGGAGCTGAGTGTCTAAGTTTAAAATTTTCATCTGCAAATGGCCCCCGGTAAATACTGGCAACTCCAGTACCATCTCCCTGAGCAAACAGAAGAGAAGTGTTAGCAACTTGTAAGTGCTGGGCCCCCCAGAGGCTGGAGAAAGACAGCTGCTGCACCTAGATCCTAGTGGACTTCCTTAAAGTCCACTCTTGTTGGCCACTTTGGGAGCCACACCTCTTTGATCCTATCCTGCAATCAAAGCAAGCCCCTTTCAAGGCACCTGCAGCCCACAAACTGGTCAGGCCTTCTCACAGATTGGGTAAAAGAGGTCACAGCTGGGCCTCTAGAAAGATAGGTTAAGACTGCGGCAAAGTAGGGAACCATAGTGACCTCATACATAATCCTTGCCATTCCGAGACTCCCATGCCTGCAGCATATAGAAACTCCCACCTAACTGACTGTTACCCCCTCCCCAAAGTATGTGGGTGGGTGGGCTCTTAGAAGTCTAGAGTGTACAGTGTGATACTACCCTCCTGGCCAAAGTTGATTGGTCCAGAGGAGGACTCTAATTTGCCAATAAACCCAGGGGATATATCAGTTACCACATCACTCTCTGTAATCAAACTATCTATTGCTCTCCAGAAGCCAGAGTAGGGAAAATGACAAAATTGATTTTCAGAACAAACAACAGAAAGCAACTTAAATCTTTAACGATAGTGAACTGACCAAATAAATTCACTGTCTATTCATTATGGACTATTAGGTAGCTATAAAAAAAATGTTTTGGAAGAAGACTTTATGACAAAAGAAAATTCAGACAATTAATAAGTACCAAAAAATTAAAACATATATGATGTAAGTTTGTTAAAAATTACATTTGACACACATACATTTGCAAAGATAAGACTGGCAACTGTAAACTAAAATGACAAGAGTTTATAGTTTGAGAGATGACATTTTATTTTTTGCACTTTTCTTTTACAACCAGAAAGAAAAACAAGTATCACTAAAATAAACAAATATTCTTGGTTTAACTTTAGAATGTCTTAAATCCTGCTTCTTTTGCCTCTTGCTCATTGTATTTTTAATTATCTAAGGGTGGCTCTGAGCAATTGCTTCTGATACTCACTCAGCCTTCTGGCTGATCAACTATTGTCTAATCCTGGGGCTATCAGCAAGTGATTGGATGTACCTAGCAATGATCAGTAAAAGGTTGGTCCTGCCCCTGCTAGGCCAATATAGCAATATAGGAGCCTATGGTAAGAAAGGAAAAAGGCAGAATAGCTTCACAGCACTTCTTACCAGGTACCAAAAAAAAAGCACATGGCCACTCTGAGTCCTACTACCATCAGCAGTGGTAAAGGGTTGCAAACTTAATTGCCTATGGAGCAGGTTACATAGTAAGGGAAGTAGATGGTAGGGACTATGGTAAAATGGCAAGGGCACACCTTGCCTAAAAGGAGCAGTTATTTAATTCCAACCAATTGTCACTGCATGAGAAACAGAAGCCTAGTGCATTTTCCATTATTTAGAGAGAAAACAAAACTCCAGAATTTTTTGGTGAAATTTACCACTTTTACAACATCATACAGATGAAACAAAACATATCTGAAAGCCTGATTTTCCCTAAAATCTGCCACTTTGTAACCTTCCCCAGATAGGAAAGAGAGAGATCTTTAAAAACTCCTAAGTCAGTAAATAAGTATACGTGTGAAAGAGAAAGAATGTCTCCCAGTCCCAAGAAAACAGCAATATGGCTATTTAAATGATACTAATAAGAAAGACCCTGTATAGAAGTGGGTGGGTTTGGACAAAAGTAGGTTTAAGAAAGAAAAAATGCCCCTGGCTGATGTGGCTCAGTTGGTTGGGCGTCAACCCATGAACCAAAAAGACTGCCGGTTGGATTCCTGGTCAGGGCATGTACCTAGTTACGGGCTCCAGTGGGGGGTGCAGAAGGCAGCTGATTGATGGTTCTATCTCACATCAATATTTCTCGCTCTCTCTAAAATGAATAAAAACATTTTTTTAAAGAAAAAGAAAAAATGTGGTTTATATAGCAACCTCTAAGGTCAGGGGAAGGGCAGAAGACTTAATATTGGGAATACACACACAATTTCAAAAGAAAGTCATGCTTAATAGAGGACTATCCCATTGGGCTCTCCCAGTGATTAGAGGAAACATCTCTCCAGAATTATCTACCTCTCTTGCTGACTCCTTGTCCGCTAATCAACTTCTGATTAAAAACTCAGTTTTCCAGGCACTGCGATGCCAGAAGTGGAAGGGAAATGGGACATAAGCACTTAGCTCGTTGGAAAGGGACTTACTACTATTTTTTTAAAATGTTCCTTACCCTTTAAAAAAAATATGTCTTTACTGATTTCAGAAAGGAAAGAAAGCGAGAGAGAGAGAGAAATGTCAATGGTGAATCATCGATCGGCTGTCTCCTGCATGCCCCCTATGGTGGATGGAGCCCGAAACCCAGGCATGTGCCCTGACATCGAACCGTGATCTCCTGGTTCATAGGCTGAAGTTCAAAACTGAGCCACACCAGCTGGACAGGACTTATTACTATTTAGTTAAAATAAATTGCATCTGAGTCCTAGCTAAGTTTCATGTAATTAATTAATTTGGATCTGTCCCGCATCCTCTACAGGTACGCTGGGAAAGTTCAGTTTCTGGCTCTAAAAGGCTGATCAAAGTGCTGATGTCTGTCATCTAATGGTACAGTGAGTAGTAGCCAGCAACATTCAAGGGCATTCCCACCCCCATCCCCACCCCCTTCCTAAGCCTGGCTATTGTTCTCAAGCCTTAAGATTGAGTTCCTGTAGTAAAAACAGTAGACCTAGCAATAACCAACCAACCAAACAAAAACACAAAACAAGTTTATAAGTCCTTGATAGGAAAGAACAGTACTTACATTAACAAAATCTCCACCCTGAATCATGAAATCCTTTATGACTCTGAAACAGAGAACAAAAGATTCTGAGCTAAGACTCAGGTTCAGAAAAACATTGACTTAAAAAAAAGAAAAGAGAAAGAGAAACATTGACTTGGTCATTGTAATTTAAATCAATCAATCCTTGAGCTTACAAAAACATTCCGTCTCAATATCTAAGAACTATCCTAAGGTTTTATTTTCCTCTAAAGAGACCAATCCCCCAAGGAAGTAATTCTAAAAGCCCCCAGGATGTTTGCCATGGGCCTTACCTGTGGAAAGTGCTTCCTTTGTATCCTATAGGAACCCCATCTTTTCTATAACCAAAAAGAAAGATTGGGAATGATGTCAGGTACCCATGGGCCTTTCCAGTTTACCACACATTTGAACTCTCCTAAAGATGGCAGGGACCAGAGAGAGGAAGGCAACTGAACTGAAGATAGACCCGCGGGGGATTACCTTCAGTCAGTCACCAGCAATCACTCAAGGCCTTCACGGTTCCCCAATACCCTCACTGCAGCCCCAGGACACCCCTCAGGAGCAAGCAGATAAGGCAACCACGTCTGAGACTGACCTGAATTCCCCAGTGCAGAACTGCCTGAAAGGGAAAAGAGTGAAGGGCTCGGTCACCATGACATCACAGCTGCGAGCGCCCCTCCCCTCCGGGGGGAGAGCACCGACACGGTCGCCAGCAAGCCCACCCATCGGCCAGCCAGACGTGCAGACCCCCGGCCACACAGATTAACAACATAAACTGACATGGGACAGTCAACACAGAGGAATCAGATCCACTCCGCAGGCCGCGTTCTGGTTCGGTTTCTCAGCTCTGAGCTGGAGTTCATCCTCACCTAAAGTTCTCGGCTGTCTTAGGCACAACGTCTGCAAAGAGCTCGATCTTCATTCGGCCAACTTCCTGCAACCGGCGGGAGACGGTCAGAGGCCTCGCGGAGCAGGGACCACGAAGGGCCGATCCCTCCCTCCCGCAGGTACCTGACCCCTCCGCCTCCTCAGCCTATCCTTTCGTTCCGCCCAGCTTTACCACACGCGGGGCGCTGGGAAAGGCAAGACTCATCCTACTCCTCTCACCACGCCCCGCAGTTCGGTAGGTTCTGGTACAAATTCACTTTCTGGCTTCCCGAGCCCGCTATCCCCAGGCGGGTGGGTTCTGCCTGGCTGGCCCGGTGCAGTTTCCTTTCGGCGAAGGGCTGGTGGCTCCCTGGACCTCACCTGGCCGCCAATGCTGACATCAAAGAACACCACGGGGTTGACAGGGCTTGAATTTGCCACCGCCATGGCTCTGACCCGGAAGCAGAAGTCGGGAGCTTGGGCTTCCGGCGAATCTCATCCGAGCTCCGCGGCTTGGGTATCCCGCGCAAGCGCGGGAAGAGCCGCTGGAGGCTGGGGCCCGCCCCCTGGAGCCCCGCCCCGCCCCCGCCGCGGAGGACTCACGGGTTTCCTCTGGGAAACTGAATGATGCTGCGGTGGCGGCGGGTTCATTCGGTCCTGACCAAGAGACTTGTTCACTTGACTCTCCCCGGAGCCGGGGATGAGGAACGGGGTGGGGAGAGAGGGGGACGCGGGTGCAAATGGAGGAGGTAGGAAGAGGAGGAATGCCTGGGTCTTTTTTTGCTCCAAGTCGGTGGGTTATTCTCGCTCAGGCTAGGGCATAGGCAGTCTCCAGGGTCCTTGGCCCTTGTCGCTGAGATATCGGCACCATCACTCGTGCTGCTTCTTGCCCCTGCCCACTACTCTGCCGACCCCAGGAAGGCAGGAACTCTGTTCATCTCAGCACTCAGAGCAGCCAGGCAAGCAAGGTGTGCTCAGCCAACACGCCCCTTCCTTGAAGGCAGTAAACTAGAATGTTTGTTCCCCGTTCTGCCACAGCTTCCATTTTTGTCACTTCCAATTCATTCTCAGCAGAGTGGCTAGAGCTTTTAAACTAAGTCTGCTAAATCACCCCTGGCTTCCTGTATTTAGAATAAAATCCAATTCCTTACGAACAAAGGCCTACATTAGATTATCTGGCTGCCACCGACTGAGCCTCATTTTGTATTGTTTGTCCACAGTTGCTATACTCTGGCCTTTCTGTTCCTCAAAGTCATGGGGTGGATACAGTCATTCCCCTGCTTATCTTGAGTTTTCACCTTCCTCCTTTCAGTTATTTGCTATCAACTACAGTCTGACAGTTGATCTGATAACCAAGACACCTATTAAGTGACTAATGGGCAGGTAGTATATACAGTGTGAATCATACATTAAAAATAGTAAATGATGCCCTGACCGGTTTGGCTCAGTCGGTAGAGTGTCGGCCTGCAGACTGAGGGGTCCCAGGTTCGATTCCAGTCAAGGGCATGTGCCTTGGTTGCGGGCACATTCCCAGTGGTGGGTGT